AATTTTAAATAAATAATCAAGATAAAAAAACTTAGCCATACTTTTACTTTTTAGTGACTACTTGAAAATTGGACACGAATCAATGCCTCCAAGTTTATCCGCTTAAAAAGCAGTGATTGTATATAGATAATTACTAAATATTCACATAATTTGTAGTTTGGAAAACACAGAAAACATTTTCCTCTTCCCCATGTGGGCAAATCCTGTATTTAAAAAGGCAGCTCAACAAAATATCTAAGGAATTTAATAAAAAAAAGAAAAAACTCTTCAAAACCTTCAAAGATGCTTAATAACTGTCATTTACTTTTTTCCCTGTGGTGCASAAGGCTGACCTTTCTCTACGTCTTTAGAAATTCAAATCCAATTTCATGCATCCTTCCTCCAGACCATCCATGAAACCAAAGATGTCACTTCCATAAATCTCAGCCAAAAGCTAAACGTAAAAACCTTGAAGCGCTCCTGCCTTCTGGGTGATAGTGGGCTTTAGTGGAGGAGGCAGGGACAGATGTCAAGAGGCGATGTGTCATATTTCCACCTTTTTCATGTCAGTGTGAACATTTGTTTTCAGAGGAAAAGCAGCAAATCAGTTTAAAACTGAAGAAACTAAAACTAAACAAATATAGTAGGTTTATATTTTAGTCGTCACCTTCCAAACTGTAGTACTTTTTTGTTTTTTTTTTTTTTTGCGCCTTGGTTTCAGACATATATAAGCTTGGATTGTTTACAGATGTCAGCTTAATGCAGATTTTAAATCTGAATCTGATGAAATACAGGCTCAGAGTGAACCAGCAGTTTGATATTTATGWCTCTATTCTTCTTTCAGCTGTTCTCTGTCCTCTCTCCAACTACCTACATTATTTGTCTTTTTGCATCTCTAATATACTACCAATAAAACCAATGTCCTCCTCTGGACATGTCCAGACCATCTCAGTCTGGCCTCTCTAACTTTATCACCCAGTTGTTCAACCTGTGCTGTACCTCTGATGAGCTCATTCCTAAYCTTATCCATTCTTGACACGCCTAGGAAAACCTCCACATCTTCAGATCTGACACTTCCAGTTCTTTTCTCCTGTCTTTCGGTCAATGCCACCGWCTCCAAACCATACAACATTTCTATTATTATAAACCTTGCCTTTGACGTGTGCTGCCCCACTTTTGTCACAAATCTCTCCTGAAACTTCTCTCCATCTCCATCTGGAGTGGGTATAATGGGGAAGAAATGTAAAAAAATATATATATATATACATAATGTGAGCGACCAAAAATGCAGTTTTGCAAGCCAAGCACACTAAACTGGATTATGATTTTTTTAACGTGGCCATTGAAAAAGCAAACACTTTGTGGCAAACTCTGGGATTTAGTGAAAATGAAAGGAACAATTACTGTTTCCCAGTAAGTTTGAAATCATCACAGCCGAGGGAGATCCTACTTTTAAGAGATGTAATATTTATTGCTTTCCTCATTGAAAAATATAGTTGAATAAACTAGGGGTGCGCCGACAGTGTCAGGTGTTATGAAGGTCACAACACAACTTCCATGTTCCAATGTTATTCTATTGAAATACTTTGAACCAACCCCTGAAACAAACAATCTTGTTTTAACTGGACATTAGGTTGTGCTCACAACAGAGCAAAAGGCGACAGTGGCTGATTTTCAAACTTTTCTGGAGGTATGAACGACGATCTTTTCCACCAATCTTATCTAAGAACCGGTCAATCTTTGATCTCCCAAAATTAAGGAATTTGCCACCGATTTATCAGTGCACACTTATCTAGTTGGCGCTTGTGCACAATTGTGGGTTTCACATATACAGAATTTTAAGAACGAGATACAACATTGTGTACATGTATGCAGGTGTTAAAGAAGTGTGCTGACTGCATAAGCAGTTTAGTATCACAACATAGCTGAGAAAAAAAGGGGAAGGGGTGAGGACTTGAGTAATGTAAGCACCCGTATTTTGTGTCAAGAGCAATAGGTGTAAATGACGGCTACCTGAGTCAAAAATACTCAAGCAGCCGGGCCACCTCTCCATGCATGTGCTGTGCTGGCATGTCAACACAATCACTGCAGAAATGTCCCGCCACACTGAAACAAAACGACCACCTTAATGAATTAGATAGTGTGCGACGCATGGGAAGTCTGCCAACACAAGTTGACAGTCATGGTAAACAAAGAGACCACACATCACTCATCTAGCCTGTTAATAACTCCAGAAAGCTTCTCCCTAAACTCATGCCAAATGAATAGTTACGTGACCGGAAAAAAAAACATCGATTAAACAAACTCAGCGCTACCTGCACGTTTTGGCCTCACACTCACAAATAAACCCGCTAAAAACAAGTTTGACACTTACAGTCACACTAAGTCAGTCATTCAGTGGAAACAGTCCGGCGGTAACGGAGAGATATAAAACTTAGGAGTTTAATTCAAATAACATGACACCACTTGCATTTTTGGGCAACAAAGACAGCTGTGGAGGCCACTCAAGAAGCTAGCAGCAGCTAGCTGGCTTTGTCACGACAGACTCATTATTTTTATTTTTATATGATTTAAACGAACTCGTTGGCACTGGAGATATGCTGCGAGATGATATCCAACTGGATTATGTCAATGTTTGACGAGCGAGCAAGCTTTTATGAGGAGTTATTTTTTTGTTACTGAAGCTAAASTGGCACGAAGCTAGCTTAGCTGACGAAGCTAACAAACTTATTCAAAAAACGCAAATAAAACTCACAATAAATGAGGTCAGAGTGACCTATTTAAAGTCGGGATTAAAGTGTAGGACAAAGAGCAATACTCGACTCAGTAGGTACTTTTGTTGAAGAGGACGCCGTGTTCACGATCCTCCTTCCTTCGCGATTAGCAGGGGGAAGCTAACGATGCTAACGCCTGTAGCTGCTGTTGTCATTGAGCCATTACAGCGAGAATAATCACCAAACTCACCTTCGCCACAGTGGCACCAAGACACGGCGTAGCRAAAATAAATCCCCGAAGGACAGGACGCCAGGCAGCTTACATCAGTATACCAGCTCCGAGATGGGGGCTGAGGTCTGCGTCCAGCGTGAAAGCAGCGCCGGGGATGGGAGGTAAACAGAGGCGAGGAGCGGGCGGAGCGGAGCAGGTGAGCCGCAGGGAGATGTGGCGGAATCCTTCCTTCAGCCGGGGAGCGAGGGGGGGCGATGTGGTCGTTTTACATGACAGTGGGGTCGTAAAACAAAACAAAAATAAAATACATTTGCTCACTTTACTGTTAATAAAAATAAACAGGCGTTCGTTTTTTTTACATCAAGCAATAATATGGAAGCCCATTTCTGAAGAATAAAAAATATATATAATTCTTAAAGTTTTAACATTAAAGAACATCTCAAAATTATGACATTTTAATATTGTAACTTTTAATTATGATTTAGTATTTCATAACACTTTCATAAATAAGAAATCACATATAAATATGAGATGTTAAGTCATAATTTAATATATTTTGAGACACTTGTGATAAGTCATACTCATGATATTTCATCCAGTTGTAAATATGAGATAGGTCATCATAGTGTTAGATCTCATATTTATGAGTTAGCTCTAAATATAGTGAACCAAATTTGACAATAATAACAATAAAAAATGTATTTATTATATAGGGCCATTAAACTTTTGTACAATAAAAAATAGTCATTGTACTTTTTAGGTGTAGTAGTATTTGTATTATAATAAATAATTATTTTTTGTTTTTGTTGTAAATTTGGATTCAGGATAAACAAGTCTCATTTTGAAACATCTTACATTTTTATTGATTTAGGAAACAACATGAGCTCTATGAAATAAGACGTAAAACAAAAGAAATAAAAAATATAGACATCCATCAATGCAAATGTTTATGAAAACAAAATGATATTACTAGCATTTTTGACTTATCACTTAAAATC